ACAAAATAGAATGTAACTTCATCCCTGCTTGTAGTAAGGTTACACGATGCTCATGCTGGAACTCCTGAATGTATAGATCTTCTTGAAACACATCTCCCTTGGTGACTTTCACGTAGGCACATTTCACCACATGTGCTTGCCTAATATATGATAGAAGAAACTAAGACATTTTAATTTGAGGGGACAGTTCCTTTAACTCATTTTTCTAACTAAAAAGTGAAACTCCAAGTAAACAGCTAAATGTAAAGTTAAAACCTTTCTCCAGGCAAACCCACCCTCACCTCTATACCTCTGCCCCACCTCTATCCTACCCATTTACAAAACTTGACTCCACCATCATGTTTCTCTCCCGTGATGGCTTTTGCAGAAGTGAAGACTAGTCTCCCATCCACTGATGGAGTCTTGACTTGCTGCTGACTGGTCTGGTTGCCTACCCTTCATGATGTCATTACACCCCTGCACTGTTCTGAAGTCTAAGAGGACCCTGCCACTGGACAACCAATGGGACGTGTCCACACCACCCAGACAGCCATGTTGGCACCACAGATTTAAGTGAGCATTTAGAACTTTTGGTGATTTATTTTTGATGCTGCAACAATCAGCTAAAAGGAGGTAGGGGTATTTATTGTGTGTGTGTGTTTGTGTGTGTGGTGGTTGTGGTGGAGGTGGTGGTGGATGGGGGGTATAGTAGCTGGTAACAGTCGAGCTTTAAGTAACATATACATGCTTACTAAAGTATTAGTAATTCTCTTATTCTCTTCAGCTAGTCTTTTGATTCACACAGCACAGCCAGGGCGATGACGTGACTATTTCCCAGTTTAGCTTCGCAGCTTCTCGTGACATTTCTCTGCTTCCAACCTTTTTAATGAATCAACATCACACTGCTAATACCATGCCCAGCAAGCAGACAGGTGATAGAGGAAGCTGCAAAGCTGAGGGAGTCATCAAGCTGGCCAGGCAGTAGGGCAGAATGTGGGAATTGCAAGAGTAGATGAACCAAGTTGCAGTTCCTTTGGCAAAACAGTTAAAAACACATGAATTGCACATGTTGAGCTATTTCCAGAAAGTCGTCCTGCATATATGATTGTTCCAATTTGGCTAGATTACTGGGGTGTTGATTTGTACTATAAAGTGTGTTCAGTCCTATCAGGTTTTTTTTGCCATTGGGGAGCTGTCCCTTGACTTCCTGTCATAACCTCTACAAATCCCCATTTAGACAGTTGTCACCAGAACAACTGTCCCCATTGGAAAATTTCGCATCTATTCCTGTTTTGGTGACAACTCAAAGTCTTGCACTTTCCAGTACAGAAGGACTTCGACACAGCCAATCCAACATCAGGATCGGCTGAGCCAAACCTCTGGCAGCTCATTCGCTGCTGTTCGCCCCTATTCTCATAGGGGCCAAACGGCAGTGAGTGAATAGTCGAATGCCGCCGTGAAGCATTTGGCTCGGCTATTCTTCTCGGTACCTCTGTGGTACCGAGCAGAATAGAACATCAGTGAAAAAAGTTTTTTAAAAAAGGAGAAAAAAATGTAAATGAATGATACATTTAAAAAAATTTATAAATAAAAAAAAACAATTGGGCGGAGCTATCAGTGACAGCTAGCTGCGCCCAACTGTTTCCTATTGGCCGGGACCTGCTAGAGTCTTCTAGCAGGTCCCGATTAATGAATAACAACTGGGTGGAGCCACCCGTGATGTCACGGCCGGCTCCGCCCAGTTGTCATTATTTAATGACAGTTCAGCATCCCCAGGTGACCTGTTGATCTGTAATTGCAACTTGGCGGAGCCAGCTGTGAGATCACGGCTGGCTCCGCCCAGCTGTCAGTTGCGAGGCATTGGGCCAGGCGAAGGCCAGCCGTTCGCGCCGCTTCGGCAACCCCACTACAAGGGCAGTGTTCTGCTCTGATTCTCCGTGCTGCTTGTTTATAATGCAATTCCGAGATGACTCAGGATCTCCAAAACAGATTATAACATGCCAGTGTTTTGCGGTTTTAGTTTTTTTTAAATTGATCTTTCCCTCTAACTATGTTAGATGAAGACAAAAAATGGGCTCATTTGTCTCCCACGCCTGCCATTAAAAACAAGCACACCAGCAGATTTTAATGAATACATTGACATTTGCTGACATTACTGAAATAGTCTAAATGATTAGGCATCTGTAAAAAAAAAAAAGTTAATAAGAACAGAAAATAAAAAAGTCATCCTTGCAGAGCAGACAGTTATAACAAGCTGCTTCGGGCAGCACAGTGGCCCAGTATAAAGTACTCCTGCCTTGTTGCATTGGGGTCCTTGGTTCAAATGCCAACCAGGATACTACTTGCATGGAGTTTGCATGTTCTCTCTGTGCATTCATGTGTTTCCTCCCACACTGCAAAGACATTCTCCTGTCCAGGGCCTTTTCTAGGATCCTAGTAGACCGGGGTACCTCTGGGCTACAGATTAAAAGGTTGAGGGGCCTGTAGGATACCATAATAACCGGTTTGGATCAATTCTGAATCTAAGGCCTCATTGTACCAGGCATGCACATAGGGGCGGGTGCAGTATTCAATTGCACGCAGCCACCTGTACATCCCTAGGAGAGAACACGGTACATGCTGACCCGAACCTGCACGTCCAAGAAGGTCCAGGTGCCCATACTTCAGACTATCTGCATGCATCATATTGATGTCCGTTCCTGAGCATTCCCTCCATTTGGTGTTGTGAGACCCCCACGAAGCGCTGACAGATTGGGAAATACGTCTTTAAACCTAAACAATTCATTCAATTAGTATAAAATCAGGCTGGCCCTTGCACTACATCATTGATGGAATGCAGAAGCATCCCCAAGCCGGCTGTCACCCGGAGCGGTCACTGGGTGTCAACTGCTGGGACGTCATCAAGTACGTGCGTAATGACATCACATGCACTTAACAGCTGCCGGCCATCTCGGTGATGAATGCCGGCAGAGAGAGGAAAGGATAAGGTATTCCGCCGGGTTTCCTCCACTCTCGTGCCGCAGTTGGTCTCTTGGTCCATGACGAGTGCCCTACTTTTCAGAGTAGGTGACACCAAAATAACTGTCAGTCATTCTGGTGTCACCCCCTTGTGACGCCGCTGATGGTATGATCTAAATTGTTTGGTCAGCTTCGACCAATATAATCTTTTTAAATAAACAAAAATGAATTGGCCTAAAAAATGTAAAGTCACATCATGATGACATAACTTTAAAAAAAAAATCGAATGAATTATCATTGCAAAAAAAGAACTACTGTATTAATAAATTAATCAGAGAGTAGACCAAATACGCAATGTTACAAAACTGGATTATGTATAAAATATTAATCATCTCCAAATCTAAAAGGAGACACTGGGCTCTCAGTAGAGCTGAAGCATGTGCATTGGGTGCCAGGGTCTAGCAACGCCCTTGCTCCTGTCTACATTGGCCCGGCTATGTGAAATATGGACCTTATAGTATAAGCTCCTTGAGCGCTTTATAAATACCTGTTATGCATTAATTCTGGTTGCTAAGGGTATTGCAGTTTAGTATAAAACACCTTTGTATTTATTGCATAGATCTATCCGGTGGGTATTTAATTCCTTTCCCATATCACATAGGAGCATAAAAACAAGCACCATAACACTGGTTGCTAAGGGTATTGCAGTTCAGTATACAACACCTTTGTATTTATTGCATAGATCTATCCGGAGGGTATTTAATTCCTTTCCCTTATTACATAGAAGCATACAAACAAGCACCATAACACTGGTGATTAAAGCCATCCTAAGACGCAGGCCAAATATAATAAGTTAAGCAGTATGATGCATACTCTGATACTCAGTGGATATATTTAGGACCTCACCATCACATAACACAATTGTTCTCTTCGTTCTATTGCCATAGTGATACTGTGTTGATAGAACATTCTATGGCTTTTCACGAATGACTGAGGTCTATTATAACTGTCTTTTCAGGAGCATCACTGAATGCATCAATGGGATTCTGGCTGTTGCAGGTCAGTACGATGACTCTAACCAGGTCAATAAATCGTAATTAAATATAACAATACAGTCAACAGAGTATTAACATCAACATGTAGAAAACAAACTGTTGTGTTCCTCCATTTGTCACATATAGTTCATTGTATCAACCTTTATAACACGTTATAATATTTAGATTGAAGAAATAATAATAATAATAGTTATACAGGATTTATATAGTACCAACAGTTTGCGCAGCGCGTTACAATATAAGTCATCACATAACACAATTGTTCTCTTCGTTCTATTGCCATAGTGATACTGTGTTGATAGAACATTCTATGGCTTTTCACGAATGACTGAGGTCTATTATAACTGTCTTTTCAGGAGCATCACTGAATGCATCAATGGGATTCTGGCTGTTGCAGGTCAGTACGATGACTCTAACCAGGTCAATAAATCGTAATTAAATATAACAATACAGTCAACAGAGTATTAACATCAACATGTAGAAAACAAACTGTTGTGTTCCTCCATTTGTCACATATAGTTCATTGTATCAACCTTTATAACACGTTATAATATTTAGATTGAAGAAATAATAATAATAATAGTTATACAGGATTTATATAGTACCAACAGTTTGCGCAGCGCGTTACAATATAAGGAAGACATTACAATCACAATACAAATCAAGACAGGATGGTATAGAGGGGCTTGCACGTGAGAGCTTACATTCTAAAATGGATACATTTAATGCGTAGACACAATGGACACGGCCCTATTTCATAACAATGAAGCTGTTTTGTTTAGACAGGCCGTGGGTGTATTGCATCCTAATACATCCATATCATTAAATTATTAATAAAGATTTACAAGCTGTAGAACAGATGCCAAGCCTGCGTGTTTGTAACACGGTGTAAAATAGATTTTTTTCCTGGGAATGCAGAAATGGTTCCCTCGTCTATAATACAGTGCGCAGAAAATGAGCTACAACGTATTAAGAGTTGAATAAGGCAAATAATAAGAGTTTATTTACCTTGTCTATGCTGGGCTTTCAGAGCTGTGTGTATCTGCTTGTGGAGCTTGTAAGGATTGCTCAGAATACAAGGCAGAGAAAGGAGGGTGGCGAGGGCTGGGAGGGACTGCTACATTGATCCTCATTGAGGAGGGAGGGATGAAGGGAGGGTGTTGTTCTATAATGGATTTTACATCCGTCTGTATGACATGAAGAAGACGAAAGGCTATAGTTTATTCACAGGATGTGGTTACCAGACAGTTGACAGGTTAATTTGGGGTTTTTCATAACTGACGCACTTGGATTTTTAAACTGAGGAAGATGTCTCTGCTTTTTTTGTGTGAAAGTACCTAAACCTGCTGCACTGTGATGGGAATGGCAATGTTATCTTGTTAGAGGGGCATGTGCGTAGCTGAGCATGGCGGGTGTCTGTCTAATCCCCAGGTTCTGCATCACTTCAGCATTAATAGTCATATGTACCAGCTGAGCAGGATATTTTCCCAGTTATTATCATTATTATAATACAATTTAAAACAAGTTGGTTAGGAGGGCTCTGCCCGTGAGGGTTTACAATCTAAAAGGGAGGGGCAAGTGACACAAAATGGTAGCTGTGTGAGAATGAGTTGTCTGAGAAAGAAATGGTTCAGTGGTTAGGTAGAGGTGGGATAGGCTTCCCTGAAGAGATGAGTTTTTAGTCATCTTCTAAAGGCAGACAGAGTAGGAGATAGCCAGACAGGTTGGGCTTTTTAATAACTATTTTATTTAACCCTTTAGTGAATTAATTAAAGGGGCACCCCAATGCATAAAAGCCCCCTTTCCCGCAGACCCCCACAACCACCGGGTCAGGGTTGTGGAAAGAGGCACTTGTCCCCATCGGCATGGGGACACCCTCCCAATGCAGAGGGCATTTGGCCTGGTAAGGCGCAGGGAGGGGCGCTTGATCGGATCAAGGGTCTGGTAGGAATGTTAGGGGGGACCCCATGTTTTTTTTCTCCATTTTTGGGGACTGGGGTTCCCCCTTAAAATACCTACCAGACCTAAAGGGCGTGGTATGGATTTTGGGGGGAACCCCACGCACTTTTTTTTTGTTTAATTTGGGGGGGTCCCTCCTAACATTCCTACCAGACCTAAAGGGTCTGGTATGAATTGGGGGTGGGACCTCATGCTTTCCCCCCTCTTCTGCAGACTAAAAAAGAAAAAAAAATCTAACGTCATTTTGCTGCAACGAAACTACCGCTAACGAATTTCGGAATCGGAAATTTGTATTCGTTTGTATTCGTTACTTCTGTAATTCGGAATTCTGATACATCTGAATCTCAAAATTTCTGAAATTTCGTCCGAATTTCAATTCGGAACTAAACGAATCGTACATGTCTAGCAGACATCCCAACTCTACCGGACGTCCTGGGAGTCTCCCGCTATCAGATAGCGGCTCCCGGCCGCCCGGGAGAGAAACATTTTCTCCCGGAAAGGTTTACTCTGCTCAATCTAGCAGAGTATACCTTTCCCCGCTGTCTGTTTTTTTTTTTACTCTGATATCGGTGCTGCCGGCCGCCGTCAGAGTAAAAAAAAAAAAAGAAAAATAGATTGCTATTGGCTATTTGAATTTGCAATAGCCAATAGCAGACTGGTTATTGCACCCGCCCACTGCTGTTGTCAATCAGCAGAGGTGGACCTGAAGTTCTCCGTCAGGTCCTCTCTCTGCTGAATTACAGCAGCACAGGGCGGGTGCACTAGGCAGCTTGCTATTGGCTATTGCAAATTCAAATAGCTAAGGTTCTATACACCGTACAGATGTGCCACTTTACAGGCAGTTTAAGTGGACCCCCAGGCCTGGATATTTAATGGATTTTTTCGTTTTTATTGTTTCACTTTAAGCAATGATAAAATCACTGCTCCTTTAAAAACTGTATTTTTTTAAAAAGTGTTTTTTTGCATTGATACATGTCCCCCAGGGCAGTACCCTGTTCCCCATACCTTTTGTATGGCCAATAACTTGCATATAAGGTTTAAAAATGGGCACGTTTGATTTTCTGAGTTCTGGTCCCATAGACTTTCATTGAGTTTGAAGTTCAAGTTCAAACTTTTTCCATATTCTAAAGTTCGAACTCGAACCGAACTCATGTGTGTTCGGCCCATCACTACTGCTGAGATAAGATATCAGACACACAGGGATCCCATTGTCAGCAATTTTTCTTACAGGTGCTGAAGCCCTGTAAAATATAATGTAATATTATACTATGGTACCTTGGTTCACGAACGCTTCTGTTCGCGAACAATTCGGTTCGCGAACAGGAAGTTCAGCAGAATTTTGCTTCCGTTCGCGAACTCTGCATCGGGTGACGAACACAACCGCAGCCATCTTCCCTGCTCTGACACGTGGTCGTGGCTTGCTCTAGTCGAGATCACGGTCTGATCACAGTTTGATTCGGTTCGTGACCAATTCGGTTCGTGACCAGAATCGTGGAACGAATTAGGTTCTCTTCACTGTATCCCAGCACTACTACAGAACTATTGTGCTACACAAAATAATCCAAACCTGCCAAGTGATCCTTTTATCAGGGGAAATTTACGAGATAAAGAGACACCTGCTTAGTTTACTACTGGAGAATGGCAGCCTGGAAAGAGGTGATTAATCCAGCTCCTACAGAGTTTACTATTGTTGAGATTTGATCCCGGGAACTTTCCATTTTGATATTTAAATTGTTATCATTATTATGTTATAGCACTTCACCTCTAGCAACCTGCTTATAGATAAACTTTTTGAGGTCTCTTTATAAATGTTTTCACTCAAGATGCAGAAACATATCACCCAAGATTCACACACTTTCTAATTAGAGTAAATTCAGAAAATTGTGTAAAAATAAGGTATACCGTATTTTTTGCTCCATAAGACGCACTTTTTTTCCCCCAAAAGGAGGGGGGAAATGTGCCTGCGTCTTATGGAGCGAATACCTATCGCCCGACACCCGGGACATGCAGTTTCGGGCGCCGGGCGAGTAGTTTCTTTTTGTACATTCAGCCCTGCTCCTGACAAGCAGAGCTGAATGTACAGTGGGAGCCGCTGTTCGTTTAATACAAGCGATCTAAGTAGATCCCTTGTATTAAATCGAGCGGCGGCGGCATCGGCGATAGTGTCCGCCCCCCACCGAGGTTTTCTGGGTCCCCCGTTCCTCTGCGGGACTGTGACCCGTCACGATCCCCCATAGGAGCTCACCATAGAGCCCATTGAGCAGACGAAGAACGGCGTACTTCGTCTGCTCTGTGTGATTACTGAGACAGCGCCACCTGTCTCAGCAGTCACTAACTGCAGCTTCTGTGACAGAATTTCTGTCACAGAAGCCATGCGTCCTATCGTCCGGAGCGTCTTATAGACCGCAAAATACGGTAAATAGATTCCTATGTGTTTGGCAGTGTTTAGCTGTTCCCAGGATATAGCACCCAACTCTCATGCCTGAACTTTTAAATCTGATCAAGCACATAAAGAAACAGGAAGAATCAAAAGCTATCCAAGGTTGAACACCAAATGGATTTCATAGGTAGGCAGCAGGTAAGCAATAGAAAAGGGTCTGACCAGGGTTGAGGAACAGAAGAGCAGACAAACCAGTAAATTATTTTTAGGTATGCTGTGGGAATTGGAACACATGATAAACACATAGTGGGTTTTCTCAAATTTGACTGCAAAATTTCAAATACACATTATGATAATGATGTAAAACAACAAATCCCATCATGCCTCTGCCGCTGGGAGTCTTTCCTGTGACTGTCATAGTCTTGCCTCATGGGAAATGTATTTTCACAACAGCTGGAGTGCCCAGGTTGCCCATCCCCTTTCTATGCTATATCTTGTCTTGGGTATTTTGTGGACTTTTTTCGAATGTGACCCTTAGAAAAGGAACAAATAAAATGAAGGGCTTTTAAAAAAAAAAAAAAATAGGAATAAAAAAATCCGCAGAAAAATAACAATAAAGGAGAGCAATAAATGACACTGTCAATGCAGAGTTAAAACTGAAAGAAGACATACTTGACATACAAAAATAGGAATAAAAAAATCAGCAGAAAAATAACAATAAAGGAGAGCAAGAAATGACACTGTCAATGCAGAGTTAAAACTGAAAGAAGACATACTTGGAAAAAAAAAAGAAGCTCTATACATGTCTTTGCTGTTACCATGTTTTAAAATTCTGAGCTGTGCCTCTTGGTCGGGAGAAACGGTGTACTCAAAATGAACGTGCTCCCGCGGCTACTCTACCTCCTCAAACATTGTCGATTTGTGTCCCGTTACACTTCCTCAAACAGGTGAAAAGGGAATTTGCATTCTTTCTATGGTCCAATAGTGCCCACCGTCTAAACAAGATTCTGCTGGCCTTACCAAAATTGATGAGTGGGATCGGTTTCCCTGACCCTCACCCTAATTACTTGGTGGTTCACATTGTGCGGGACTTTGAGTGGTGCAAAGGGTGGGTGCATTTGGAACAAGCCTCTTCCCCTATGCCCCTGTCTGGCTTGCTTTGGATTGACCAGGTTCTTCCGAGGGAGATCATCACTCACCCACTCATTGGATATACGGTTTGTGTTCTTCACTCACCTAGAGATGTACTTTCTTCCGGTACTTCTCCTTCCCTATTGACTCCGGTTGTGGGCAACCCTGCCTTTCCACCGAGCCTGCAGGATGGGTCAGTTTCTCGATTTCTACATGTCAACATATTTCGGGTTGCCCACTTCTGGTCTTCTGATGGTATTCCTGGCCTTCAAGACCTTTCCAACATGGTCTCACCACCATTGCTACGATGGCAGGCTATGCAATTACGCTCTTTTCTATCTCACCTCCTGGGTTCCAACACCCCAAGGACTGATGTGTCAGACTTCGAGGACTTGTGTTTACGGGGTGAATATGTAGGTCATGGCCTATCCAGAGCACATACCCTACTTGTACTCTCTTCAGTGTTCACCCCGCCAGTGTTCTTGTCCAATGGGAAAGGGCTTTAGACTCCACAATTTCTCCTGAACAGATGGAGTACATTTTCCATTTTGCAGCATCTATTAATAGCTCCAACCAGGAAACAGGCTACAAAATCCTAACCAGATGGTACTATGTCCCGGTCACTTTGCACAAAATGTTTCCACAG